GATCTCCGTTCGATTGAAAAGGACTTTCAAAAAGATGACTACTCAAATTAAAAGTTGATAATACTCAAGGGAAGTAAATAGGCATAAATGAGGAAAAATCCTAGGAGCGGGAACGTGGAATCTGAACAAAAAACTGATTGTCAATCATTAATTTGCCCGATATGTATATAGGAATTAAGAAAATATATACGATGGATATCAGCCTGCTAGGTATGCATTAAAATAACAAATGTATCGTTCGTTAACAATTACGAGTTCGTGTTTGAGTTCGAGTGCGAACAAAGTTCGTGTTCGGGCTGAAGTGGGAACAAATTAATACGCGAGTTCGATTTCGGGGTGCGAGTACGATTATGAGGTCGTTTTGAGTTCGAGTGCGAAATAAATTACACGAGTACAGATTGGAGGACGATTATGTACACGAGTATAAATACTTAAAACTGCTAAACCACGTAGCACTATCTAGGAAGGATTTGTGGAAATCATGGTGGGGCCATGTGTAGTAAATCGTTCTGCTTCTCTTCCATTTGCAACGTCTTTACATTTTTTTGTTTAATCTTGCACAATAATATCTCCTGCTTGACATTTAAAGACAATGATTGTGAGATGTATAGGGCCATGTTTGTAAATAATAATCTTTTTTCGGTCTGTAACAATTCCTGTTAGATATTTAGGGCCATGTGTACGAATGAAACTTTTCGAAATTCCAGTCGCGTCTATCATGCATTTTCTCTCCGTTCTACATTGATTCTTATTGTGAACAAATCCTAGGGCCATGTACAAAAATCTCATCGCCGTTTTGTAGAGAATTCTGCCAAACCCAATTTCCCTTGCGTTATCGTCTGTACTATGACAGATTATTTACAGGATTCCAGGGCCATGTGATAGTGTCTTACTTTTTTTTTGGTAAAACAATCTTTCTAATTTATTACGCACAATTAATTTAGGGCCATGTGGTGCAAAGTAGAGATCTTATATTCCTCCGTTCTGTATAAATTTATCCAATAGCAGGACGAGAATTTTCTTGAAAACTGCCTGTGCACTCACATCATTCCGTCTTGAATGCGAATCATTGTGTAAAATACGTAGGGACATGTGTTAAGTGTCAATAGCTATTTTAAAGCTTAAAAAAGCTCTAATGTTGAATCTAAGTTTTCTAGTTTAATCTGTGAATTCCTTACCCTGTTAAACTTCACCGTGGTTCATGGAGTGAAATACTCTATGGGGCCATGTTTAAAAATCTACTTTATTTGTCTGTGTGACAAGATTTTTCTCGGAGATCTATTATTAAAAATGCTCTACATGTAAAGGGCCATGTGCAGATCTTACATTCCTTGAAACATGTAACAGTCGTGAAACGTAATCAGAATCATGGTTTCAACGATTCTACGATTATTTTGCCACATGAAATAGTCTCTGATCCTCGCAAAATGTGTCTTATGGATATACATTATTGTTTGTGATTTGTTCTTCCATAATATCCGATTCGCAAAGATCGATAATTGCCTTTTATGTTAGGGCCATTGTGTCAAATAGGCGTAATGAAACCTAATACGCCGGAAACACCTTCGCGCTGTTAAAGTGTATAGCCTGAATTTATAGGGTGAAACAATGTTCATCAATTGTTTTTTTTTTTAACAACCATTGGAGGTTTTTATCGATGTTACTTTTCAATTCTGATGAGTCCGATCACAGCTGGTCGGCAATGTGAATGTTGTTTCCCTGTGAACCGATGCGCGTTGCTTTGTCCATACTGGGATATCATCTTCGCGACCAGCAGGCCAAATTATCTTTTTAGAATAAACAAATAAACTTTCTTTCTCAACAGTTGAATCCATTACAGTGGTCAGGTAAGGGCCACCAATTGAATTATGTTCACCGTCTGTATGTAAGATACTTTGCATCAGTTAGGCCTAGAGATCATAGCGTGGACCTCAACTAAGTTTCCCTTTTCCTATGATTATCTTTTATAGTGGTCAGGTAAGGACCATTATTATACTTTTTTACTTCTCTCTACACCACAGCACCGGTCACATTTGATCTGAAAACCATTGTACTTTGTAGTAACATAACCTAGCCTCGCTAGGAAGACTTTTTTAATTTCAGCAACTTGCAATTAGATTAGGAGGACCAGTGCTCATGTCAGGAGCTGATGACACGGAGGAACCGGAAGCAGGGAGGAGGAACGCCGGAAGACTGATGACCTGCTTGCCGGGCATCCCATTACTGATTTCCCAGGTAAAAATATTTATGTAATGTTCCTGTCGAAAAATGGCTAAGGACGTTTCAAGTTGTTCTGCTCGTTGTGTCTGCGATTAATGATATCGTTTTTTTTTCTCAAAATACGATAACTAAAGAGGAAAATAAATTTAATGTGATATAATAATCACTTAACAACTTCACAAACCCACAAATAAAAAAGAAGAGCAACAGGCACGTAATAGTCCCGCACACATTTTTTTTTTTACATGTGTTCCTTCTAATCTTCTGGCAGAGATGACGGTCTGCAAGATGAGATGTCATTCTGGACGAAGATACGATCACTTCTGAATCCCAAGGAACTGGAAGCAGGGAGGAAGACCGTCGGAAGGACTGAAGACCCTGCTTGTAGAGCAAGTCTTTACTAATTCTTGAGGTAATGTAGCAAAAGGCATTTAGATGTATTTTTCGTTTATTAATTTTCAATTTTTGGTGACATATCTTCTCAATCCGATAGTTGGGTAGCGCTTCAAATGTGAACAAAAATGTAATATACATGTATTAAATATATTTCTTTTATCTCTACAGATTCCGCTTGTAAAGCAGCAGAGACGATGACAATAAAAAACATTATGGAGTGCAGTTGTTCACTTGAGCATAGAACACGAATTTTAGCAACACTCGCTGAGTTTTACAATTGCTAGCTCCTGAAAGCTCCATAGTTTCTCTTAAAAAAAGTCACATTTTACTAATTCGCTGATCTATATAAGACGCCATCCCATTTTAAAATCCCTCCGAAATCCTGCTCTTTTAATATAAAAAGCTGTTTATGTCAACTTATTTAATCAATTGGTTTACGTCGTACCTAAGTGGTCGTAGTCAGTCTGTTAATATATCGTAGGCAACATATCAAAGGTCCTACCACTAAACGTTGATGTTCCGAAGGGGTCAATCTTAGGTTCACGCTTATTCATCATTTACTCCAGTGATCTGCGAACTTGCATCCCTCAAAATTGCAATCTGTTTATGTATGCAGATGACTCCACTTTAACGTGTATAGCTCCTCCACTGTTAACCAAATAGAAAGGAACTTGAACATTACAGCTCTTGCCAGAATACACAATTGGTGCGCAAGAAACAATTTTAAATAATAAGATACAAGAATCTTGAAAATTGACAGCAACCGTGAAAGAATGAATTTAATATAATGCAGTGTAAGGACACTCAGTACTTTCTCATCCATTTCTTCCAATAGAGGGCGCGCTACATAAGCACTGGTCGACACACAGTTATATATTAAACATTTTATGGATGTTGACCAAGCTGATGGTGAAAGTTGTTGATTTTTTCAAATGCGTCTATAAGTTTCCCTCTATGCCACTTTTCCCACGACATGAATCACAATATTTTCCCCTGTTTTGCTGTTCACAGAGAGCCATTCTTGTATTTTTTATACCTATCTCACTGACTGACTGACTTGATTGACTCCCCGACTGACGTATACTGTCACTCGTGAAATAAAAAAAAATTGGCTGGGAGACTACCGACCTGGTTTGGGACTACAGCGCACAGTCTTGTTTGAATAACGGAATAAAATGTGTGGTTGGGAGGTATTAAAAACTCTAATTAAGACCGGTCGGAGTCTGGATGGGTGATAATTACCCGAGACGAAGCCGAAGGTAACTATTAGCACTCCAGACTCCAACCGGTCTTAAACAGAGCGTTAATACCGACCAAGCACATATTTATTATCATTCATAAATCATTATTCATAAATACATGATACAGTTTTCCCATTCCTATTGGTCGAGAACCCGTCACGTGGCCGGTCTTAAACGGATAATAAAGACATGGCTGGCTGGTCTTAAACATTTTTTTTCAGTGTCACATGACATTTGGACTCCCATGAAATCCGATGCCTTTGAACGTTTCATTGGTTGAACGTTCTCATTCCAAACGTAGGCATGCGCAATACAACCAGCAAATCAGTATTTCATGGTCCTAAATTCACACTACACCAGTCCAGCTGCGTTTTGCGCGACATAATTGAACAGTTTCCCCAGAGTATTGTGGCGTCTAGCCACAACCCTCCCCAGCTCTAAACCCTCACACTTTGTGAATATTCCAAGCCGTTGTTCCCCATCCAGTCCCAACACTGACAAAAAAATCACACTTGCTGCCTATTGTAAGGCCCCTTCACTCTTCCTTTCTTCCCATCACATTAGGTGTTATCAGTAGAAGAAAATCATGATACACAGGTACTGCACATACATAAGTCGTGCGATATTACCACAAGATGGCGCCCTATCACACTGTAAAAATATTGGGCAAAAAATTCGTTGGGCAAAGTATAAACAACGCAATAAATATGTATAGGCAATTTTGCCCAAAATTTGAACGTGTTAACTATTCGCCCATCGTTGGTCGAATAATCAACTCCTTTTGCCCAACAGTGCAGGTTGCTGACATCATTCAATTAAAGATGAGTTTGCCGGTATTGAACTACTTATACTCCCACGTTTTATACAAAAACAAAACGTAGGCTTCAGCAGGTCAGTGACAGGCTTTTTTGTAATGACTCAATCTCTCGTTTGCAACATTTTCCATCTGGAGGGTGATTTGTACAACCTTTACGCCAATTCTGTGATCCAAGAAACTGACCATTTTTAAAGGGAATGCATGCACCTTCAAGTGAAAATCGGTTGTGATATGCGATATATTAGGCTGTGCACACAATCTGAACCATCACCCTATTCTCACGTCATCATTGGTCGATCTTTGAAGAAGACACGCGGAAAAAAACCTTGTTTGAACTCTTGTTTATTTCTTAAATTACTGGTGCTACTGAAAAGGGAGGAGTTCAGTACTATATAGCACCGATTTTCGTGAAAGCAGAAATTATTCTGCGACCGTAATTTGTTAATTAAACAGTAATTACATCCCTCAAGGGTCTCAACAAACCAACGTCGGCTTTTTCTGGAGCCCCTACCTCCGTGTTTGAATCCTTTTTTTAAAATTCATTTCCGAAACGAAATGTTGCTACGATTTAAAGTTCAGTATGAAATACGTGACAGTTTCTTACAATTCCGGATTTCAAGGATACTCTGACTGTACCGATCTTTTGCACTGCAGCCATCTTAGAGGTGTGTGCTTTTGTTCAACAGCGATACGCATGATTAAACATCTTGTGCATTCATTGTTAATGAATTAACATGACAAACACACCTCAAATATGGCGGCTGAAAAAAGGTATTTTGCTATGGTGGTCGATGGTGAATGCAGGCAAAAGTCGGCACATACTGGCGCGAACCAATAAAAAAGAAAAAGATATACATGTATCAGTGAGCACTAAACCTTGTTTTGCTTTCTTCTCGCAAAACGATTTGAAGACCTATTTCATACTCGAACAGTTTCTACAAATGAAGCATCATCATTTCCAAACTTTGACGAGTAAACCTTGCTGGGAGTTTGTCTTTAGCCGGAGATGCTATTATCGTTGATTCTATATCCGGTTTGAGCCATCAGATTTCCGTTGATTGCCGAACACCATGGTGAGACTGGCTGCTTATGGAAATTCGTATGAAATACTGCGGTGGCATCATTTCGGTACATGTACTTGTACGCCCGTTAGTCTTCTTGTGGGCTCATGTTTTGGAAGAAAATGCAGTTTGTTCCTCTGACAGTAGGGAACAAACATATCCCTTGTATTTTAAGGCATCTCAAACGTACAGATGAATTGATCTAGATGGTGCTAAACTCTCTTATAATGTCATCGTCTTTTTGTCCCGAGTATGGCCGAACATTCTGCCGAAGAGCGTCGACCGCGTGCCGAATTTGTACATTCGGATCTCTCGGTAAAGTTCGTGGAAGACGTCGGCTATCTTGTCGTAATTCTCCGATGCCGAGAGCTCGACGAACGAGCATCCCATGTCTTTGGATAATCGTTCACCTGTGAAAAAAAAGAAGAAAGAAAGTGGAGAAATTTTTAAATCCGTTTAATCAATCAATCCCTCTTCAGGAATTGCAACCTGTGTGGCCGTGGATATACACTCTTTATATGTTATTGAAAAGTTCATGGCCTTTAAAATATTAATTTTTTTCATGTAATACGATTCCTTTCTTAATCCAGAGAGACTTTGACCCCCTTAACCATCTGTCAAAGGAACCAAGGATTTCATATTATAGATTTATTCTTCATACTATAGAGAAGTATTTATCTGGAATATTGTGTAGATTGTCCGTATACATGTATGGTCGACACATTTTACTTTCTTTGGTATTAAAATCCATCCTACTTTTCTTAAAGGGCCATGCAATTTTTTTAATGCAATCCTTGAAATACACGTTTGCGTCCCATTAACCCTATTTTCTATTTTTGTTTTGCCATTTTCAAGGGTATTTTTGGTGCTTTTTGGTTTTTATGCTAATGCGAATTTCCATATTCATGGAGAAGTGTGATGTCATTTCAGAGAGGAACCTAAATATTACAGATTATTCAGCACCAAAAGTTTCCAGAATTTGGGATATTTCGCTGTCATAAATTTTCTTTTCTTTGGTGATTCGTTGTTGCGTCAGTACTTGGCAGTAAGCCAATGAGCAAACTGTTCTCAAAAATAATTTCAATGAGCAAATTTTGGGTTCACACTTTGAACAGAAAACCCCTAAACTGAACAGTGTCTTCCTGAAATGACCACACAGCAACAGCGCCCTGAGTTGTCCGGAAAAGCATGGCCAATTAAAAACAAATTTTAAAAAGTGCACTTTTCAATAAATCAACCAAAAAGGGATGTCAAACAGTTTTCATACGTTTAGGAGGAGAAGAAAGTTGCACAAAACAATATGTTCCAAAGAAATTTACTTCATGGACCATTTAAAAACCAAATTGACCTAGTAATAAGTAAACTGAGAGAGAGTTTAAAAAAATGCAGCAATCAACACCCATGTTGAGAGCTCAAGGGAGCGAGTGAAGTAAATAACGCGTGGCACTGTGAACTTGCGCCAGTTGTAATGTGTCAAGTTGGCACTTGAATCGAAGAACATCCGTCCACGGCTGACAGATTGTAAGAATACCTTGCCTCGGGCGATAAATATTATGTATCCTCGTCACGTCAATAAATTGTTGTGTTATTATATGTGCAGATGAACGGCTATTTTGTGGGTCGTGATTCCAAGTCAAGCTATCGGCGAACGCTGACATGATACAACAATATATCATATCCCTCTTCTTTCATTCTTTGCTGTTAATGAAGAAGTGCATCCAGGACAAGTCTGATTAAAAACAAAAAAACACAGATCACTATTAAATCCCAAACCCCGTTTGAGAACAACTCGGTCACGAAACATCCGCGGAGGCTTGTTGCAACGCCTAAGATTTCTTTGAAAGCCGTGTCCGGCGCACGTACTTAGATATCACAATTAGAGCGACCCCGTCAAAGCGAAGTTATTTGTCAAGAACGGGCCAAAAATAGCTTGGCGATTTGACGAAGGGCTAAATTTAGACACACTGATATTTTGCCAATTTTTTTTTATCCCTCCCATCTGTTCAAAACGTCTGGTTACTGTTCGGGAGGGAAACGATAGAGGCCTTTTCCTGAAGCCCAATTCAAGAACAGACTTTCAATTTGGTTTCCATGCAGATTATATTGTACCTGTGATATCGCCGTCATGGTTCAATAGGGCAGCGGATATGGTGTATCAAATAGCAGTTCGTTTATCAGTGTCCTGCTCAAGAAGTGACGAGGATTTCAAAGAACTAAGATGCCCCTTGCTTCGCTGTGTGGTGCACGTGCGCGGTGCATGCACGAAAACAACATCCACTGTATGATGTATTCCATGAGAGAACGGGAATGCATGCATCCTTTGACTCATTCTTTGGGTAGTCATGGTCTTAAATTTGGGGCACTGGCGTCGCCAGGATAGACGCAGTCCTACAGAATAATCCGCCATGTTAACATTTCTTTCACGGATGCCCACCCCCTTCAATGGCGAAATCTTCGCGCTAGCTGTTGTTCAGATAATCCCCCACGGAGGCATTAGCTTTGTGCAAAATCTGGCACAGTGCTTGCGCCATTGAAGGGGGCCTCAGTGAACGAAATCATGCTGGATTCGTCAATACATTTGCTACTCTTTCTTCCTGAGTAAAGCTCCAACTCGATTCTTCGCAAGGATGAAATTAGTGTAGGCTTTATAGTCTACATAACACATAAGCCGTCTTATTTACTTGACCGGAAAGGAAGCAGTCCACATCACGCGTCCCATTAGCCTTATTTGAGATCATCCAACAGTGGTGATGTCTGTGTTTGTAACTTGTAATGCCCCAAGAGAGTCTTTCGCAGCACACGCATGAAGAAATCCTCCTCTCTTTGTTTCAAAGCACCGGCTAAAACTTGCCTTAAATTGTAAGGAAAATGAAAGTGCATATAAATGCATTTTTCCATTAAACTGGTGCCCAATAAATTATGCATCTGTCCAAAATAAATCCCATGATTTTGTTTATATGTAAATGAAATAGAATCAATGTTTACTTTCTGGAAGCAGTATTTACTTTGTAGGACTGATTTATGTCATCCGCTTCGTGACAATATTGCCTCGATAAAATTGTTGAGATCCACGGATCACTCTTGACCTTTTCCTTTCTCCACAGTACTTAATTATTCAGCACACCAAGCTGCATAAACAACAGGACGAGATATCTATGGCGTGCAAACTTTTTGAGACTGACGTACTTCATCGATTTTTTTCAGAGATGAAAAGTTGTTTGATTTATTCCGCGATGGGTGGTGCGTGCCCAAGAGGCATAACCTACTTTTTACAATTTTTGTGTGTCGAGGAGATGTAGATTTTAATATTGCTGGTTTCGATTGCGGTTCCTGATTCGAACGGTTAAAGAGGCATGCACTGGCTCCCGTCCCAACCAAATACGCTTGTGATTTTTTTTGTATGTAAAGGGTCGTTTTAAACAGACAATATTTGAGAAAGCGGCAAATGGGCCTTATTCACGAGTTGGCCATTTTTGTCGAGTTCCCTGAGTGTATTTCATTATTTGTTAACTGTGTAATGGGATGGCGCCAGCCTATTTATGCAGGCACAATGCAGCCTTATTTTACTGTCATTTTTTTTTTAAAATATGTCTTTAAACATTAGGGAATGTTTAATTACAAATTTTGAATTATTCATTGAAGCAGACTGGAATTTATTATCAATGAACTTGCTTTCATTTCTCTTCGCAAGTTCCAAAAATGAAGATTTTACCTAACTTTCAATCCAATATGGCCGACTCGTGAATAAGGCCCATTGGCTTCTCTCGGCGATTTATTCCGATCCTGCAAGACGAAGACAAACTACTTGTTGTCAGGTCCTCGCATGACAAGGGTAATGACGAAGCCCACGAAAATAATTTAACAAGGCAGAACCGCCGAGGGCGCTACACAAAAGGTACATGTATGTTGCGCAACATGTCAACACAAAATACTTAAACGGAGTATCTTAGACTCAACATACATTTTAAGTAAATAAAATGTACACTTATCACACTTTTTAGCCCTCGGGGACATTACTGATTATTATAGCTCTCATAAAATTACGTGAAAGGCAAAACGAAATATTGAAATGCAGCATGATAATTGAACTGTATTCCAGCATCATGCAGAAAATGTACGACTTCCAACTCTTTAAACCCCTAACAGTCCTGAATCCTCCAATTTTAATATGATTTTGCACACCCCTAGGGAGTTAGGGTAAAGGGAAAATTAGATGAAAAGTATTTCTAGCCTTCCATGGTGTCAACTTTGCGTAGATGCAGCAGATCCGCCTTGTTTGCAACCACCGTAAACGCTACCGGTACCGTCTTGGAATTTCGGCTCTCTTCCAAGATGTTCCTGGCTCGACGCAGGGCATCGATGCTCCTCATGTCCGTGATGGAGTAGATGAGAAGTAGACCATCCGCCCACTGTAAGACATCGTCCGTAAGGACATTCTGAAGAAATGGGGATGGTGGGTGGGGTGGGGATGAAAAGGTTGTACAGGATAATGCGGAAAGCAAGTGAAAAAAACCTAGGGTCCAACTTATTTCAATTTAGGGGGAAATCTGTAGGGTATCTTTTTCTGAAGGGGCCACTCAATGAACTTGGTCGTAGTGTTAAACAATACAAAGCATTTTATCTCACTTTTGAGGTGAGTTGAAAGGGAGCTAAAATATCGTTTCCCCGCTGTATGCTCTCAGTGAATTTTTCCACCCAAAGGAGAAAAAACCCAGTAATACGGCACATGAGCTCTAATTTTGTTGTAAGACTTATGATGGATGTAAGACCTATGTACATACATGAACTTTACAGCTGTGATTAAGCAGGTCCTACCTCGTGTCCAGTATCTAGAATCTCCATCAGTACTATGTCTCCATCTATCTTACATTGGTGGTGGTATTTGGTTTCTGGAGAGATACACAAAAAAACCAATCATCAGGTGTTGCTTTTAAGACCTGAGCAATAGGTCCAGTGCATTGGGTACTTAGTACATTACAAACCCCAGAAGCGTTGCTCGTTCCTAGCACGGAGCCCGAAGTCATAGAGATGAGCAAATAAATATGCACCTGATTTAAACACAAAAAAGAAATAGCCGGAAATATGTTCTTTAAAATATATTGATTGGTTAGATGACACTAGAAGAAAAATCTAAAACGGAAACAAAATGTTTACAACTGAAAAATACTGATGAAACTTTGTTTCGATATAATGTTTCTTCATGTGTTTCTTTTTTAAATAGCTTGTAACGGAGACCAAATAGTATAACAAATAGTATAAATAACATGAAGGCGCCCCCTATTGTTATGCGGTATCCTGCCCCCCCCCCCCCATCCCGGCCCCTTTCGAATTAACATGTCCGGGAAATTTTAGGATTTGGTCGTATGGTCATTCCTCCATCCCCGACTCGCCGACACGAATTTACGCCACTGTGCACAATGCCCTACGTGATTTTGCTATAAAAAAAGTAACTCCTAATAACACTTATTATAAACCATGAAGGTCTATGTTCTTAATTCCCCTTTTCTGAACTCATTACTAGTTTGGTGGGCATGCCGTACCTGGTTCGTGTCCATATTCACCGATGAAGCGCTTGGTCAGAAAGCGCACCGTAACAGCTGACAGGAAAGAAAACACAGAAAAAAAGACAATTAACGAAAATCTGTCATCACCTGCTTTAATGAACTACATGTTTCCCTGGCTATATATTTTAAAGCGTTTGGGGTTAAAATTGAGCAATTTCAATATTTGATAAAATCAATTTCGTCTTAAATTAATATTTCATTTCAAACTTTGATGGACCTCCTTAACTATTCGTTGACGTCTTATAAATTCCTCTGACAACATTCAGGAATCGAATTAACTTCCACTCTTTTTAAAGAGCCATACCTTTATCTTGTTGCCACCATTTCAGTAATTTTCCCTGTATCCAATAACTTTACGGAATGATAATTTCTTTGCGCAAAGAGAAACAGACTATTTTTTTTCCTTCCCGCCTTGCTTTGGTTACGTTGACTTGAATGAGTAAAATCAAGATGGCCGCTACACGATAACGGTCTACAGGGGGCAACTTCGAGTGATTTTCACTCTTTACAGAAGAGTGCGAGGTTAAGGCATTTCCTAGTGACCTTACGAGCGCAATGATACAGAACCAACTTGAAAGGTGTACAAAACTCCCAAAACAACAGTTACCGAAAAAAACTGAACAGAAAGAAAAGGAAAACAAAAAAATGAGTTGTGTGTTAAGGAATACCCACTTGAGCTTATGTATATGTGCCTTTCTTTCTTTTAAATATTTTGGGCCACTTCACAACACTTTCCAAATTCTCGCCGCTTAAAATGAAAGCAAAATGTTACAAACTATGTCTCGATTAACGATTACCTCAAGCCGACTATTCACGACCTACATCCCACGCCGCGAGGCCAGTAAACGAAAATTCCTAATTTATAACGTCATCTATATATTTATAATCTCCAGCACTGCTTTGTCTTCCGCGGTGTGTTGTTTTTTTCATGTGATTATGCAAACTTGGTTTAATAATGTTCGATTTTGCGGCGGCTGGATGACATTTCAAGAAGTGGTCTGTCGGCAAGTTTGTTTTCGCCCCGCGCTTCTAAAAAACATAATTTCTGCTTAGCCAAAAATCAGCTTGGAACTAAAAAGCAATAAATATTTCATGATTTTTGGGCTGTTAATCAATTTTGGCTCAGCAGACGTACACACAGGTTGTATAGAAAATTATCTGTGCTTATCTAATTCATGGTAATGGCCTCAGTGTCTGTTGTGATCAATTCATTTTTATTCAATAACGTGTTCGCCGTTTGAGGGTCGTACGTCCTGGGGCATAGAAAAGCCTTTCACGACTTGTACTCCGGATAACTTGACTCTAATTGTTGGCAGTAATTACATTAAGACACAGTGCGTGTCCTTAAACTACGGCGCCTAGACTGAAAGCATGACCTCAACAACTCGATTATAGCTTTACAATAAATTTGTTTTAAACGTTAAGGCGTGAGTCTGTTATTTGTATGAATCTATGATGGTGAAAGGTAATAGACATTAGAAGCGAAAATCTGGTCTTGGGCCTGGAAAAAAATGCTCTTTATTTCTCTTATTCTCATTACAGAGTGTGTCTTTCTTGATGCAGCGAACATGCGTTTTGTGGCATAATTATACTGCAGGGATCCATTGTTACGGGGAGGGGTCTAGTAGAGCAGTGTTGTGGGTGGCAACCTGCCCCCTCCCGGCAACAGTTAACCAACTGTATTTGTTTTTAAATGAAACCCCACTTCGCACCCATAACTTAGCACCCCTACCCACCATTAAAATAGTAATTTTACGGACAGACAAAAAATGTGGAGACCCGTTCCCCCCCCCCCCCCCCCCCACTAAACAGGTTTTTTTTCTCTCTTGTAAAAAAAAAAATCACTATTGAAACCACATGGCTGATCAGGTTTGCGTATATGATAACCCCGTGCTGATTAAACTGCAGTATGTACCAATAACCATCGTATGTCAGTTCCAATTACCGTCAGACTCCATCTCGGATTCTGATTTCGCGATCGGCTCATCCCGGCTCGGTGCGTGGCCAGCTCGGCTAAGTTCGGCTCGACTCGGCTCAGCTAGCATGCAATTTACTCAACTTGACTCGAGCTCTGCTCGCTCGCCGGCCCCAACCGATTCGGATTTATCTAGACCGAGCAGTGTGGTCCCAGACCACAAGTTCTTCGGATGTTCTCAACCAGCTTCTTAATCTTTGCAGCTGTCTTTCCCGATGTCTCATCCGTCCAAACTGACAGTCAATGAACATTATTGCATTGGGATGTCATATCATGTTATCACACGACTGTACGCAGTGGGGCTGACTCGATTGTGTTGAGAGTGAGTGAATTATTTTGACAACTGCACTTTAGTCATGAAAATGACATCCATGCGATGTCTGCAGTGCGTGGCATGGGGCCTCGAATTAATGATCCGGCGGACCTTGCCATGAAGAACGTTTTGATAAGGACTTGGGATTCTTGTGCTCGATCAGATTATATACGGCGGATCATAATTCCCCTCCAGCTCATTTTCAGCAGGGACAACACAATGATGGTGTGGGAATGATGGGCGGTAAAAAACATACCAGAAAGTACATGCATCTCTGGTTTAATTTGACCAGAAGGTGAAGTCATGATTGATTCGATGGCTTGTCACGGGTCTCAATTACGGTTTCATTTCGGGCGAATCCAAAGCATTCCTTGAGATGAAACTGTGACGTATATATGCGGGGCTATTACATGCGGTATTTCAAAAAGGAACATAAGGAAAATCGTGCGTGCAGCTGCAGGCGAAGTTAGGGTCCTTGTATAGCATTTCTGAGTAATGAATACCACCGTGATGCATGTTGGTCTGTCTGTCTGTCTGTCAGTCAGTCTACCTATATTTGTCAGTTTGACAGTTTCATAAACGCTACCATCAAACCTATTATGTCCAAAAATAAAGATGATAATCACCACAAGCTTAATCCAAATGGGCTAAATTGGCCTGTTTGCTATGCCAGGATGTCTTCACACGCATATATAGGCCTATATTTCAATGGAACCTATATCTTTGCACAGCTTAGATCTGAGCTGTGAGATGATGTAAAAAAAAACAAGTTAACACTCCTGCTCTGTACTTTATGGTTAGGGGGAAAAAATTCCAAGGACCGTCATATTCACTTGTCTGGATAGCGAGCCAGATATGGTTATTGTAATTAACAGCACAATCCTTGGAGCAAGTGCAAAATGATGCAGAGTTCGAAATCTGCGGCCAAAATTAATTCCGCGAGGTCAACTATCGGTCAAGAGGCAAACCTCCCCTGGGTGATGTCACCAAAGCCTCACATCCGTCATCTCCCACCCACACGTCGCTGTGGGGTCATCATTCCTCGCTCATTTTGATGTATCGTTCTTCCCAACTGCTCCTAAAAAATCACGATATCCCACGCAGAACCCATCCAATTAAGGGCGGACTGTCACGACATTCGCTGGTACCCATCGCAAGCAAACAAACGCCTCCCCCGTCATAAATAATGCACGGGGATCAGCGTGAAAGCGATTCGCCCTTATTTAAATGCATGGGATATGCTGGGTATGCCGCCCACTAGCCGACCCTAGGGAAATCGTCGATTGGATTGACAAAGCGAGAGTAGAGAGAGATATGAAGTGTGAAAAGTGTGTGATAGAAATGACATGAACATCAAAATCCTATTAGCCGGGGGGCGACCAGTTTCACAGAAAGTACAGAACTCCCCGCTGAATGTGTGGGCCACGCGAACTCACTCAACGTATAGTCATTAACGGAACCACAGATTGATCAACCTCGCTCCCATGAGAACTGCCTGTCTGCAATTGGGCAATACGCATGCTTTTCAACCACGAAGAGCCGGGGTTTGGGATTCCAACCCCACAAATTTCCGAGACGACGATTTGAGTAACAATAAACCACAGTGGTTGAAAATATCCCAAAGAGCCATGTTTACTTTTAAGGTCATAGCTATATCGTCTTTATGTTTAAATATGCAGCCATCAATTAAAACCACTGTGCCAAACAGATATTAGACACATAATTTCGCAGAATTATTTCTGCTGCATTTTATGTGGAAGTCAACACGGACACGTCCGCAGTTGCAGTTCATTGACCGTGCAGTATGTAATACGTGCGTAGACGTCGGTCGTATTAATTCCTCCTCCAAGGCGAATTACAACCGAATTAATTTTCACACCCTTCTCACTACACGTTATTAATGTCGCTCTGCTATATTACATCCACCGCGCTAGGAGAAGTTACTACAGGGACAGCTCATCATCTTGTCACATCTCACCAGTTTTTATGGCCATAATATTCTTGTCGCTTAAGAAACAATCTTCTCCTGAGTAATTATTATCCATTTTGGTCACTGTTTCTCTCTGCAGTTTGCTGTTCTTGCGTGTTCCTTTGTTTTATTGCAGCCTTTTGGTGTTCTGTTTTCAGAGAAATTTATTGAAGGTGTGCATGATTCCAGTAGCGGATCTAGGGAGGGGCGGGGTTACGGGGGTTGCATCCCCCCCCCCCCCGCCGTGTGACTAACTGTTATGATTCCAGTAAAATGGGGCCAGAGGTAGTAAATGAAATGGTAAAGTTCCTCAAATCTATTCACAATTAGGCCCTACCTTAGAATGCAGGAAAAAGCATCGTAGATTTTAAAATTTTCCTTGGGGAGGGGGTGGGGGTGCCCTTGATTCCCCTAGTACAGCGTGCCGAAGGTTTCATACAGCCTCTTTACTTTTCAGAATGAAAATATTTACCTCACATCAGTACCCTCTCTCATTTCTTCCAATTTCTCAATCCTCGTCCACTATTCCATTCGCACACAAGTTTTTTAATATTGAAGCCGCAGGAAATAGTAAATTTACCTCAGACATTTAGGGTCAGCCGGGTGCAACTGAAAACCAATTCAAATACCCTGGTTATTTTCTAGTCGGAATTATTGATTAGAAAATCAGGAGCGATCGAAAAGCTAAAAGCTAAACATGATTGATGCGTGTGTTTCGTAGCGACTAGATTTCTAGTCATTTCTCAAGATTAAGAGAAAAAAACAGTTGATAAATTTACTTCATTACATCTTAATGAAACCTTTTCCGAACTTATGATCAGATAAATTAATCTTTACGGAGATTTTGAAAATTTAATGAAAGTCCTAGTGTTGTGTTATGTTATGTCTCATTCTAATTCGTTATTTTTTTTCAGAGAAGCCTATAACCGGCGCTTAAGCACTTTTTTCCAAGCTCAATTCCTATCTTTAAGTGTGAGAAACAACAAAAGAACGTCACTTTAATGTAACGAATTAGAAACAATTTTCGAATTTAATTTGTAAAAGAGTGCTTTCAGTGCCACGTTCACTTTTCCCCATCAGCACCTGAAGGTTACAACATTGACCCTATTGCTGTGATGTCCTTTTCAGATGCTCTCTATATAAAGGGGATATCTCTTTACGTCATCAGCACTTCGTTTGGTGAGAATCCCCTTAAAAAAAACCCAAAGGCTTGACTACAATGCATGACATTAATTTGTCACAGCAGATATCAATGATTAATCAGTGATATTTGGTGCAGACAGTCGAAGTTCACACAAGTGCGTCTGCTAAGTGATGATGCGTCTGACCATGGAGGAATTATTCCTCCATGGTCTGACGTGACCACAGACGTGCCTGGCTGGATTTTGGGGACACATATAATTATGCAAGAGTTTGTGACAACTTGTGAGCAATACTAGGTGTGCAAATGCCATTCCTATATCATCAAAGGCTCAGTTCTCCCAAATATTTCCCCTATCTGTGCCCCAACTTCATGGATGTCATCAAATGAATCAAATGTCGAATCGGAGAGAAAAGTAAAGCGTAGATGAAACCAATTATGCTACTGTTGAAGGAATTCATAAATTGTAATGCGAAAAAAAATACCTTAGGCCTAAAAGGCTATACCATTACTACAAAAAAAACACAAGTTTTATGTTCGTGTGTCTACCAACAGAGTTTTATAACCATCACGATTGAATACAATTAATTTTAAAGCAACCTTTACGACGAATGAAATTGCCTGATCAAAAAAGGAGAAAGATTTACAATCTTGATGTTAGCCTCCACCGCGCACTCTTGCTGACCCCAGGAAGGTCTTCAACTTTGGACAGCTGCACGGACGGGGGAAGGAGATGAGTTCTACGGTACGGGCGCACCGGGTTTGTCCCGGTGCTGCAGCCGGGTGGTATCGCGTACGTCAACCCTTCGCCATTTACCACCCTCCCTTGGGGAAACAAAACTACCTAGCGCGAATTATTTCATCGGATTGCATTCTTGCTGAATATGGTGCCACCTGGCCTTGGCAGGAATTTTCTTTATACGGTAATTACGTGCACGTGTATATGTACATGTATTCCTCACGGAGTGTGGTGTCGGATCGCTCTGAATTTTTGACAAGATTTTATTGTTTGATGGGAAACAAGTCTGGAAAGTATATTTAAAACTGTGGGCAAATGGTACACTGCCAGTGATCACTGTAGACAACGTACGAAATACCACAGAATATTAGGCCAAATAAAAAAACACATGTTTAGCGTCCCTGCCCGCTTCTTTTTTGGAGACCGCCTCCTTTTTTTTAAACGAAAAAAAAGAGATTAATTTTAAACAGTAACATCATTTTGACCTCTTTGTCTGTTGCATCTAGCCCATATAAAGCTGGTATGTCATTTCCTGAGTCCAAGTGGCGGCCATTTAAAACGAAAAGCTGGCGGCCATCTTGAAAAATAGCCCGGTCGGGCGGCCATTTTGGAGGGGAAAGAAGGGCCTCCTCCTTCCTTTTGTTTTCAAAAAAGGCAGGACGCTGAACATGTTTTTTTTTCTATTTGGCCTTACATGCGTTGTGCACACTAAAGAAATGAATACTACAGGTAACTACTCGGTAGTTTGTTTGTACTTTTAGCTGAAGTTAGGGTTAATGTTAAAAAAAAGTGTGAGATGGATGCAAATCGTTCTGATTCTTTTTCCAATCAGTTTTAAGATTGAACCTATTAAACGAGCACTATCGACCGGAGTGCGCCCTTTTTGGATTTAAAACGCGATTCCTGATAGTTGAAAAGATCTTTATCAAGCGGAATATAAACGTCCACATAAGGCCAAAAAAAAAAGTCTCCGGTTTCTGGTATGGAGCTTGCCCCAAAAGTGGTGCGGCGACGCGGCTTTTTTTTTTTTTTACCTGTTTTTTTTTTTTTTTTTGGCTTCAAATGACTGCAAATGGTGCCCGACTAAACTTAGTGCAAATATATGGGAGTCCAGAGAGGCCACATAAAGCTTATTCTCGTTCATAACCCCATCTAAAAACACGTTAAAAGTGTGCAGCAGCAGGATTCCAGTCAAACCAGTGAGTTTGGCGGTTTTGAGACATCATCTTGTATTGAAAAAAAAACTTTTTCATTTTGCCGACGCGCATGGCTACGGCGACGCGCGCGCATAACAGAAACCGGAGACTTTTTTTTTGGCCTAACTAAACCTTTAAAATGTAACGATTTGCGGGGTTTAAACTTTTTTGGTCACTAAAAGTTGAACTGCTTTTTGAAACAGTTTCTTCAAAAACGTGCTAAATTTCTCTATATTGACTGAGAACTTATGTCTAACAGTGAATTGGTAAACCTTGACAGCGTGGGCTCATAATTTGATCGCCTTAATATGGCGCAATAAAAAGAAACATGTTTAGCGTCCTGCCTTTTTGTAAAAAAGGATCGCGGTAGGCCCTTTTCTTCCCCCTCCAAAATGGCCGCCCGACCGGGCTTTTTTTCGAGATGGCCGCCAGTTTTTTTTATGGCCGCCACTGGACTCAGGAAATGATATAACAGCTTTATATGGGCTAGATGCAACAGATAAAGATGCCTAAATGATGTCACTATTGAAAAATTATCATTTAAAAAAAAGGAGGCGGCCTCCAAAAAAAGAAGCGGGCGGGGACGCTAAACATGTTTTTGTTTTATTTCGCTTAAATAGCTACAGAAGAATAACTATAGGCACGTATGTACGTTTAAGCTGCTGTGTCTGAGGTAAGCAAACAAGACTTTTCGAGATTTTTTCATCGAGTGTAATACGTTACGAATACGAGGATTTATTTTGACCAAGACATTTAGCATACGGTAAATTAGCAATCAAAAGCCCCTAATGTTGGAGATTTTCGGGCGAATGTGTAGGCCTAAATCGTACTTGCTTATGTGCTCTGTCTATCAATTTCTACGGGGGGGGGGGGTGTACTTTAGAGGGGCCTCAGTTTCTGGAGGATACACCTAATGCATTGTTAGCAATCATGAGCATATATCTGCGTTCCGCAGACCCCCCCCTTCAGATTTTGCCTTTTCCTTGAAATGTCCTTACATTTTTCATTTCCTTTGAAATGTCCATAGGACTTTGAAATGTCCTTAAAATAAGGATAGCTTCCTTAAAAGTGAAGCACTGGTGTGAAAGGCCCTTAAAACGTGTTAGATAATACTGTCTCCGCTCTTCAACAAAATCATTGACGCGCACGATTCATGGCTAATTTTGGCTATCCTTATCCGCAAAAAAAGCCAGAACAGAACGGCACACACAGCGTACTTTCCCCGTAAGGATCGACTCTTCACTTGCCACACTTTGTTGTCTTCTCTTCTTCAAGAACTTCGCCTGTTCGATCTTAGCAGGTGATCGCATGAGTCACTCGAACTCTTCGTGACCCGAACACAATGAGACTTTCCATAAAATGACGGAATGTCGGACGCCTTGTGTGCTTAGAAACAGTCAGGCACTGAATTTCGCGAAGTGTATGGTGTGTATGCAACGTAGCTGTTCATATCATGTACAAACAATGTTATTTTAGCGTGGGGGGGGGGCAAATCTAAACTGTCGATCTTCTGTCTCAAATGGTTGGAGAAACCACATAAATTAATTATACCAACACTTATACAAGCTGAGATTTTGGGATTTTATTGCTTTGAAGTTGAACATATTAGCTGGCCGAATCTCTGCATAGCTTCTAAAGTGATTTAGAATCCAATCAATCAAAATATTTGTCCTGTTTTTTTTGTCATACGGACCGCGTACGCAATTTCGAAGCAACAAACTTTAAGTCGACAACTTGATTGTAATTAAAAGGGCGATTCAATGGTCAACGCACGGTGTAATGTTCTATGCTTTATCATTACTGCTGCATATTAAATGGGGTGCATACTTATGTTCTCTATAGCATTGTTCCCTAACCCTAAGGATTTTGGGGAATATAGCATAGGTATTGGGGAACACGTATTAATTGGGGAACATCGGGTATAGACCCCTATTAAATGAACTCACCACTCTTCCCGACACCACTCACTCCAGTCACAGCGATCTTGACCTCCGTCTGTGACCCACTTTTCTTCCGTCTGCCAAAGGGGCTGGACGTGCTCATCTTAAGTTCCTGGCGGTCCCCGATTGGTTGAATTCGTCCAGATATGCACACCCACTCAACCAATGAACGGCAGTGCCAAAACTCCCCTCAGTCAAGCTGTCCAAATGACGCGAAAATGTCACAGTATTTGTTTCCACAAGCGTGTCCACACTAAGGCAATCGTGCAATTTGTCATGCTGATACTAGCTTTGCGACATGTGGAAATGTACTTAGAGAAATAACTGTCTACTTCCTCCGCGACCAAGTAAATATATATATAAGTAGCGCGTTCGCAGAACAAAGGTCGCTGACTTTACTCTGTTGGTAGTACTGTTCGATGCTTATAATATTCGACTTGAGCACATTTCACATCGTATAGGTCTACGTATACACTTCTTCTAACCGACGCGAAACAAGGAACTTCGCTCGATACTAGTGATCATGCAGTTAGCAATACGGTAACTTCTTGTGTAACTGCACTGTATGTACCGCGTTTTAAAGTGATCGGGTTGAGCACATGGCCGATACTATAAAAGTGTGTAAATGACTGCCCGTAGGCTCCGGCAATGTGGGATGCAAAACCCATTAGGCCCGGCCCATCTAATATCTTGCCGCATGTGTCTTAACTCGCTCCCGATAAGTCTTACACAGAGAGCGGCCGCGACCGGGAACAGGCTCGAAGGCGGGAAAACGCCAAATGCCGATGATGCATTCTTGATCCTGCAGACAAACTGCTGATAAAATAATCCATATAGCAAATTCCGTGCAATCAGTTTGGAGTCGGTTCGTCCATTGCTCTGTGGTCAACCAAGCGTCCCTCGCAATAGATCAGTCCTCTCCACACAGAGTTGTGGCTCATCCGGGAATCATCCCCAAGATATTTGCTCAGTCTCAGTCCGTGTCGCCGTCTTCTTTGTACGCCGTGCCGTCAACTGTGCTAGCTCGCACTGAAAAATACATCCGTTTGAAAGAAGCAATCATCTGAAGGGTGTACAATGAATTGGACCGTCTGCTTCTTATTCAAATCATCCCAGCAGTTGTCCCGGCCTTTTTTTCTCTCTCTCTTTCTTTTTGAGATGAGCCCACACAAGATTCACGTTTCGCCCTTGGTTTCATCAGCGGGGTTGCTTCACGTTAATAACAAGACCCGTCTTCCCGAACTGTGGTTACTGAACTGTTTTGAAGCGAAGACGCTGTGAAGCGGTCGCGTGCGATGCAATCACCCAATTGTGGCCGTCGACCAATGACAAACGCGATTCGATTCCCGGTCTGAATGAGTTTAGTATCTGGGTTGTTCAATAGGCAGTGAGCAACTCTATTTATCTTAATGCAAAATCTTGCTCTTGCACATTTTTTTTGTGCGATGCTGTTTATATATTTCATCACATATTTCGCTCACTCGGTGGTTAAAATCTCCCCATTAACAACAATTGTAAAAGCAAGACAACTGTTTCAATTATAATAATAAACGCAATGTTGTTCGAAAAAATGAACTCGATTGAAAACTGGACGGCCGTAAGCGTTTGTATTTACAAACGCGAGGTATTCGGGCAAGTTGTTCCAAAGTGTATACTCAGTTGAAAAATGCATTTTGTCACTGTTCATTCAAAAGTATGTGTTGACATGAATTGCATACCTGATTGCTGGCTTCAATTCGTTAATGTGTCACCACTTTATCACATGTAGAATCTTCATAAATCACAATATTTAATCATTAGCATTTTCATAACATTTTTTCGTGGAATGGCTCTCTGATGGCAATAAATGCCTTATTTTTAATTTGTCGCTAGAGGGCTTTAAGTGATGCTGTCCCCAAATCTAACGTTCAAAAGACAAACCTCTCTCAAAAGCAAGGTTCTATCCAGATTTGCAACGATTATGAGGCTTGTTACAAGCATTTAATTTTGAACTTCCAGCTACCCCGGAAGTAAAGGTCAATTGTATAAAAACAGGACTAAATTTATATCAGGATAAGGTTAACTCTGATCTGCCAAATATAAAGGCCGTGCGTCACTTTCAGGAGATAATGTAAGTTTTAAAATACTAATTTCCCCTCATTTGACGTCATCACTACGTCCTATGACATCACCACCTTTGGACATTGTCTGCATTTCTTGTCATGTATGTGCGCTCATGAAATGAATCAATAGAGTGTTCATACGGACGCCGTGAATGCAAAACGTCTCATTTTATTATTGCTTGACTTTGACCTTCCGGGGACTGATAATTCAATTGTAATAATGAACACAATATGGTTCGAAATATGGACTATACATTAGAAATAAAACTTTCTAATATGTATGTCCATCACATTCTACGACAGTGTGTACAATCCTTGAACAAACTAAATAGTAACAAAATTCCCCCTCCTTAAACGCACTATTTCACTGGCGTATATTTGTATCAACGAGAAGTTGGTGAAAAATAAACGATCCGGCTTATTTGCCGGACGTCGGAAATTCGGGGAAAATAGGACAGGGTGGATCATGACAACATTTGAAAGCGAGGTGGCGCTGTTCATTATTTTGTGTGGGTCAGGTTGACAGGAGGACGTCAAGATCGGCACTCTTTCCGCAAAGAAAAACCTTTAAACATCCTATGGTTACCCCCCCCCCCGGTCCAAACAAACTCAAACAAACATCGGTCACCCAAAATGCAAGCATGAACACCAAACTCCGTTTCTGTAAGGTACCGTGCCCGCAACAAATGAACCTTTGCGCACGGAAGACATAATTAGAACATTTGAGGGCGCACTTACCTTGGAACAGTGAGCTCTATCAATTTTCTATTTTGTGATTATCTAAATAAGACACGCCGTGATATTTTGGTGGTACTATAATCTGTTCCGAATTGCTGCTGATACAGACACGCTCTGAAATCGTTTGTATTGTCTCCTGTTTTCAATCAACTTATATTTTTCTGAAGTCTCTAAAGATGGGCTTACTCAGGCACTCAGCATGAGAGACGCAAAAGCTATCACCATCGATTCAATTTATTTGAACAAAAGCCACAAATTAGGCCTAAACAACCGTACATTTTGCTAAAATTGACAGTGACTCGGGGGATATTTTCAAACACAACTACAAGATGTGTTTAATATTTGTCAGCCTTTTTCATCGTCTGACCGTCAGGAAACGGGCCATGCTTTATACGATCTAATCATCTGTTGGGCCATTAAACTGTCCATAATCGATGGCCATTGTTGCTTGTTTTCGCAAAACCATTATCATCAAATGAGCACTCAACATGGGCGTCGCCAGGATTTTTTCCAGGGGGGGGGGGGGCAAAGCAAATTTCCCCCCAAAAATCCTTAACTTTTTCATCATATTCTCAACTTATCATTTTTTCCGAGCGTGAGCAGGGGAGCATTTGCCCTACCCCCACCCCCCACCCCGTCAAATTAACAGCAATATGGCTTCGCACCTCTTTCCTTTTTTTTCTCCCTCCCCCCCCCCTTTTTTCGTTTTCCAGGGGGGGGGGCGGCAAGGGCCCCCCTTGCCCCCCTCGCGACGCCACGTACGGAAACCATTATCATATTGCTTTTTTAAAGGTCAATGCCTTGAAAAGAATGAGCTACCAAATTCTAATTAAAAAACTTACTTGGATTAAAGATAGTAGGCCTAATGATACTAAATGCACTGTAGACCTAATAGTTTGGCGTGGGACTCGTTGTTATTGTAAAGAAGAAGACAGAAGATAACGGCCGTCTTTGAAAATTCAAGTGCTCAATTATTATCTGCCTTATAATAAATAATGTAGAGTGCGAGATCCCGTCTATTGGTTGTTTGAATGCCGCCCCCATTTGTTCATGTTTAAAATCCTGAGCATCAAATCCTTAGTGGAAAATGCCTATACATTTGCGCTGTTTTCTACCAAAAACATGGGTCTATGTCTACAGGTTACATACACTGCTAACATTCTTCGTCAAAAGTTGCAGAGCTATAGTGAAATTGAATTCGGTTAAAATATTGGCCTCGAAAACATCATTTGAGGAAAAGTTCCGCATATTTGGCAAACACAAACTGGTGCGATAATCACTAAACATGACCCGAAACTAGAGTTACATCTACTTGAACCTGTCTGTTACTGTTCATGGTCGCTTTAACGTTGAAACAATGGAGAGATTGAGCACCATTATCTTCATCCGTTAGTGTCATTTCCTTGTACCAAAATTCGTCAAACACACTTCATAATCTCCAGAGAGTTCTTGTTACGTAGTTAATGTATAATATTTGTTAAAGTATAATACTTCCGTAATGCTTTTGACTTTTAACTGTGAAGCTGTGTTGCGTGCCAAAAATGGAATATGTAAAGCGGGACAAGAACTATATGCAAACAAGAACTATACGCCTACGTCTGCAAACGCTTCACTATAGATAGTATCATAGTATCAAAAATCGTCGATTTAGCCTCTCAGACGCAGATTCAGAGGGGGGTTATGTTGGTCAAACCCCCCGCCACCAGCTCTGACTAAAAAAAACAAAAAAACATAGAAATATATTCAAAATAATGTGAACCCCCCCCCCCTGCTGTGCCACTCCCGAAAGCAATCATTGTTATCACAATTGTGATAATGTCCGCCTATGCACAACATTCGGACAGATCCAACTGAGGTACGGGGGTACTTGTACATTATTCTGTAATATTAATAGTGTTCATGATTGTCGGATTTGAACAGCACCCCAACTGAAAGTATGGTACTTAACCCCCCCCCCTTACCTCTCCCTTACCCCCTTTACCCCCCCCCCCCCACCTATTGATTTTACGGAGGCCAAGTGTCCAGAGAAAAAACCTGTCTACATTTCAGCATTGATTTGCTGATGATACACCCCCCCCCTGCTAAAATTCCTGGATCCGCCCCTATCTCTCTTGTAAGAAACGTCGAACCTCGGCAAAGAAACTTCGGTACCAAATTGTAGTGAAGCTCGATTTGGAGTCGGGTTGTGTTCTCTTGATCTTCTCATCTATTGGACGTTGATCATAACAAAACAGCCAATTCCCTACTGTCCCGGGGTTGCCTCTCTTTTCCCAGTGCTCTATATGTGTGCTTCACTCCTATTAAAGATGTATGCCCTATGCTCTTTAAACAAAAATTGGATTGTTTTTACTTCTCACGAGTTTTCAAAACCGAGCAGGTGTTTTAAGCTTTATAGGCAAAAGAAAGCGCTTGATTTTGTTAGTATATATGATCGGGGTATTTTTTGATGTCTTCTGAGGAGAAATGGTAAACTTGCCCCTCCGTATTTTGCGGATTTGCTTTTTCTGTTGTGTGTACTTTCTGGGGTCATTGTTATGCATCAGCAATCTTTAGTAGAGTTCGTTACCTTCTGCAGGTTGGCGTGGGACGCATCTTGTTCCTCTCGGTGTTCCTAGCATGGACCACGAGCAGTCTTTGTCAAACGCAGCCTAGCGAGTCTGGGGGTTCGGATGCACCGGAGCACAAAGGCTCCTGCTGCAGTGTTTGCAATCAGGGCGTGGTTATCGGTGCAGCAGGCGTGCCGGGAGTACCAGGCCAGCATGGTGTCCAGGGACCCAGAGGTGACCCCGGCATTGGCCTTCCCGGACCCAGGGGGAGCATCGGGGACCAGGGACAGAAAGGAGATCAGGGCGAGGCTGGAGTCCAGGGACCGCCGGGGAAGTTGGGACCAGCAGGGCCCGGCGGTGAGAAGGGACAAAAAGGGGAACCGGGAGAAAGCATGACCGAATGCGTGACGCCAACACCGCCCTCCGTCGTCGCCTTCAGCGCATTCAAGACGGCACACTTTCAAGGAAATGACGGTGACGTCATCATCTTTGAGGACGTCGCGACTAACCTCGGAGACGGGTACGATTCGCAATCGGGCGTGTTCACCTGTGCCGTCCCAGGTCTGTATCTTTTCTCGGCCAACCTCTTGAGTTTGGTCACGGGCCCGCAATCATATGCGAGCTTGAAACAGAACGGGGTGGTCGTGTTTTCGATTGCCGATAGCCATTCGCCTAACCACCACCAATCTAGCCATTCCGTCCCCCTCGTTCTGAGTGCAGGTGACAGGGTTTGGCTCGCATTGTTTGGTAGTGGTAAAGGTATCTATGGGGATGGGAACCGGTATTGTTCATTGTCTGGTATTTTAATTCAGGCAATGTAACAAGGCATAATGAATCGATACTACAAAGTGAGATCGAAGTACCATGGTCATTGTTTTGCAGCGTAATTGGTTGCGTAATTGAATAGCAACATTATTATGGCATCATTGAAATAATCATTGGCAGAATATGAAGATTTCAAAACGTCTACCAAAAACATCGATCTCTTGCTTCTATATAATTATGCAGCGAGTGGTTCCAATTTCACCGATATAAAGTTTGTTGTTTGTGTTACTTTACGTTTCAGAGTGTGTTCTGGATTTTTCTGTAAATATCTTATACATTGAACAAGCACCGTGACGAAAGTTATCTGGTATTATTATGATGAATGTCCGATGTGGATTATGCTATACGTAGAGTGTTATAAAACAACACTAAGATGAGCGTGTAACTTTAGTCGACAACTTATACTGAAAAAAAATCTTTCAAGTCACTGTCACTTGAGGATTTACTAAATCGGTTTGCTTTTGTCTTAAATATTACCTGACGAAAAGCTTGTCCTTTCTTGGTTAAGTTTCAAATATTATGGTATTTATAAGTGTTCTGTAAACGACAAAAAATGGTGGACAAAGTCAGCATGGAGCTCCATTATTCTCAGTGACTGAATATTATGATCTAAACAAACAAGCCAACACAAACAATCCATGAAGTTCTATCATTGTTTTATTAAAAAAAAATTGGACAAAATCAAATTTATGCATTGCTCACAGACCCGGTTTCAACTATTGTGTTAACAAATAAGTTTATAACGTTCACTATAAAATTTGACTAAATGAAATTAAAGCGAATTTCGCGACTCAATACAGTGAAAGAACATACCTTTTAAACTTTCATACTGACAATGTGGTATAGCGCCCCCAGCGGTCCCAGTTGCATTAATGGTAAAAAAGGAATCTTTTCTGGGCATGAATTGCTGATGTATCTTTTTGTCCTTTTGTATATTTTAAAATTTCAATATTTACAATATATTGCACATAACAAAAAATTGGCGTTTGCCTTCGGTACGATATAGATAAACATACAGGCGCGGATCCAGAAGGGGGGGGGGGGTCCAACCCCCTTGCTCTGTCCCAAAAAAGAGTTTTCCATACAAATTCCTAAAAAATAAGTCTAAACCACCCCCCCCCCCTGCTGTGACTCCCAAAAGAATTTATACTGGTATAATGTCTGTCTGTTCTAAATACGGTAGAACATTCTGTAATCTAGCACTAATAATCGTCGAATTTGAACAGCGCCCCCTTTTGAAATATGGTACCAGCCCCCCCCCCCCCGCTGTGATTGGTCAAAACATGCACTGACGTCAACAACATATACCAATCACGAACTTGTGGCTTTAACCAATACCTGGAAATCATTACTTCAAATTGGGCCATAAGGTACTTTACAATCAGCCTGTATCATTCGCTCTTGGTTATCGGGTGCTGAGTACTAAAGTGCATTCTTTATATTTTGTTGGCGTTGGATCGAGTGTCCTTTTGATTTCTCTGCACGAATACCGTATTATCTTATTCATTTTCTCCTACAAATTTCCCTGGTAACACCCATTCATTTTGTAATTTAAAAAAAGATGCATGATCACTTCCTTATACTGAGGATTTGATTATTTTGTGATGAAATTTTAACTACAAACAAAAGCATACAATAAACTTCACTCAACCAGAAAAGAACTTGAGTTCCCCCTTGATACTTTTTTGCTTAACTTAAAAACTACTGTGCACATCTTGCTCAAATTACGACTGATCAGTACAGAAATTCCTTAGCAATCCAGCCGTGCTCTTTGCTTGGCCCAAAACAGTGATAATGTGTACAAAATTATGCAATTTATGACAAATGGTGCGGAAAAGTTGCACTTTTATGTACGTGCAAGGCACGTATACGTTTGCGGTAACATTTGTCATCAATTACATACATTTGTACAAATTATCACTGTTTTGGGCCAAACAAAGAGTATGGCTGCATTGCTTAGGAATTTCTGTACTGATTAATCGTTATTTGACCGAGAGGTGCTCAGTAGTTTTTGAGTTAGACAAAAAAATATTGGAAGGGGGGGGGACTTTCTTTTTTGGTTTAGTGTATATGCATATACATATAATATATACAAATCCTTATAGTTTAATATGTAATACAGTCTTTGATATTTGTAATAAAACTACACATTGTTCAGTGTGGACAGGCATCAGCCCAAAATAATGTGTGTTTGGTGCGGTGCAACGTCATCATTTATAAACTATGTGTAATGACTGTGTGAACTCTAGACGTCAAACCAGTCTCACGACTGTCTAATAAGAGTTGTCACTATGACATTACTGCGAGATGTGTGTTAGCTGCAGCATATTCTTCATTAAAATTCATGGAGAGTGTCTCGAAGAACTACTATGGCTCATAGGAGTACAGTGCGCCGATGAGGGCGCCAGGGCCCTTTTCAGGGTGGACAAGATCAAATGGCCGACTCAAAGACTTGATTCTGAGATACAGTTTTCTCAGATTATCATGTGTTCAGAAGTTCATCAGAAATGCTCGTTTGTAAAATTCCTTCGTGCATGAATGTCCAGCCTTTTCCATTCTCAGACATTATGAATATTGTGTGATTTTGACTGAATTTCAAAATGGTGATTGTAGTGCATTGAACCAGTTTATCGTACAGATTTGGCTACGGACACCTCAACGGTGAAATGGCATAGCCTAGGCATAGAACGCCTGTATCTAAGCGCCACTGTCGTCGAGTGCCCGCCCTCGAGTGCATTAGTCTCAATGTGCAATCATCATCCGGGGTTGGGCACATCACATTAGTTTGGGAATTGGTTGTGCACTAAAAACGAACCAGTGTGCGCACGAGATGAGTCCTTCACAGGCTCTGGTGAGTGATCGACACAATTCCTGCATGGAAACGATAGTCAACATCACCCTAAGACCTGCTCTCGTCGCAAAGTTGTAACTAGACAATTTTGGCGGGAACTTGTCTGGGTCTACTTCACATCGCACAATAGCTACATCACGAGTGTTGCTTAGAGGTGATATTGTTTCAAAAACTGTCAACTGTGATTTTTCACTCTCACCGTAATTATGCACTTAGGCCTAACCTATTTATTAGCAATTTGCAGAAATACTTTGATTTGAATGTTTACAAAATTATATCAATTTCTTTGGGGCGAAGTACAGTGGCAAGTACGTTATTACTGAGTTCAGATCCTGTTCGAGTTCCCGTCGTCAAGGCAGCGATATTTTACGAGATCTCCTGGGCGAGCCGAACATGGCTTGCATGACCTTGTTGGCCACGTTACGCGTGACACTACTCCTCCGCCGTTTGACCTGTAGCTTGTTCTTGGTGGCATCGTACACCTCCTTCAGCAGGGCAAGGAACGCCTCGCGCACCTCGGTGTATCCGTCCGCGGCCGAGACCTCGAAGAAGTAGCAGCCGTACTCCTCGGCCAGGTCCCGGCCCTCGTCCAGCATGACTTCCCGACGGTGTTCCAGATCGGCCTTGTTGCCGATGATGACGATGGGCACAGAACACGGTGACTTGGCGAGCTGAATGTGCTTGACTTGCGTCTCGACATCCCTGAAAGTAGTCCGGTTGCACACGCTGTAGACGATGACGAAAGCGTTGGCCCATCGCAGGTGGGAATCACGCTCAGACAGTTGCTCACCCTGACAGGATAAAAAAAAACATTCGATTTGAAATAGTCTGGATTTTCTTTTTAACAAGTGCGAGTGCACAATAAGATCTGGCCGTCTTGCATGAAAGTCTTGCGTAACGTTGACCGGAGATTGTGCGTACAAGCCCAGGTGGCCGCCCCACGCGAAAATCACGCAATTCACCAAAATAAGCTCATTTAGTCTCCCATAAAATATAGCATGCTATATAGCGGGGTAGGCTATATATATATACCACGTGACTATAACATGACTGCACATGATTATTTTTTGCTTCCATTTGCACACTTTTCATAAACAACATTTTTGTTAAGTATTTAAGTTATTTTGTTTGCTTTTTTGTAGTTCAAATTTGGTAGTTATATTGTATAGGAAACTTAGTAGGCTCGTTTTTGTCAATTTCTGGGGACAGACCGACCGACAGACCGACCGACCGACCGACCACGAAGTGACATGCAGAAGCTCCTTCCAGAGCTTAGAAAGTTGCGAAAAACATTGTTCAGCGCTGCAGTGATCCTAGGCGATTAAATCAGTCAACAGCGCGAAGACCTGCATGAGAACTTAAAAGACCTGCATGCGTTACCTGAGTTGTTTACCATGATTTCCAGCCCCTAGTTGTTTCATATTTCTAGATCCCCTTCTTGGAAGGGGGGGGGGGCTAAATAATCGAAATATAAAAAAAAATATCAAAATAAAAGAAATGTATGGTCCTTCATTTTATCGAACTAGCAACTCTGCCGTTAGATTTTGACATGGTTTTAATTTCTGTAGTGTGTTATTGGTTATAATGTGCTCTTTGATGATTCTTAAATTTTATTATCCAACACAAACCTTAGGACAGGTGTCCAATACTTCCATGTACACCGGTACCTCATTATGCACCACAGTTTGTCGATATAGGAGATCTGCAGATAAGATCACACAAAAAAAATACAAAGTCAAACACGGGTGTGTCATAACTTATGATCTTTTATGTCCGTTAACACATAGTTGTCTAGTTATCCAACCAGTCCTAGTTACCCAACCAGTCCTAATCATCCAACCGGTGAATTCGGCCCCTGGTGATGAAAAGAATAGTGATCTTGGATTAGGCCTACACGCAGTTTGACGAACCCGCTCCGTAAATAGAAAGACTCACGTACGTTATGTGTCGATGCGCATTTCCGACAACGTTAAGTGTGGAGACCTTTTTTTACGCACGGGCGAAGGTAGAGGGGATGGGGGGGGGGGGGGTTGACCCCCATTATCTTTTTCTTCGCCAAAGCTGCTTGCTGCCGGTGCCGACAAAATCTTGTGCCCCGGTCGGCAACTTGTGCCGGGTTGAAGAGCGCCACCTACTGTCTGAAAGTGTCCATAACCGTGTGCTTTGGACAGCGCACCATTAAGGAAGATGGTGTCCAGCCCGCCCGCCCCCCCCCCCCCATTTTTACGGAGGCCGGGGGATCGTAAACAAACATTTTGTTCGCCTTTTAGCACGGATGATCATCGGCAAATTTAATGTGTCCCCCCCCCCCCCACATTCAAAGTGGTCGAGCAACGCTTGTGTATTAACGTGGCGAGTTTGAAGTCATTATATGAGAAAAGAGGGGTGAATAAATATATCTGAGAAAAAGAGGGGTGAATATATAAATATCCCCGGGTCACGTCACTGCGCAAAGTAAAACAGTCACCGTGAAATTAATCTCCGACTTTATTAAGGTTAGACTACTTCTTTTTGTCTTTCCGTCACAAGGGTCAAGTTTATGGACTCGAAATCATTTTTTGATACTGATATAATTTAAGTTTGGTCAAGATACTGTACATGTGTATATTCAACAGAGGGTTTTAAATTAGGGAATATGGGAAGGGGTATAGAGGGCGTTATTGCATGTAGACATGTGAGGGATGATGTAGAATGGAAATATCTTGCCATTTCCCGGATTTTTTGGGGAGTCAGGTTGGCGTAGCGGTACTTTCCTTGCCTTCCACCGTTGTGACCCGGGTTCGAATCCCGCCCGGGCCATCATCCGGGGTTTTCAGTTCCTACCTGATTCCGTGGGTTTTCCTCAGAATACTCTTCTGGGCTTTTCCTCCCACCTCTAAAACTGTAATTTTTTTCTCATTGTCTTCTCTCTACAGGTTTCTTCATGGGCTTTCGAGCTACAGTGCTTATTATAGGGTACTTTTGAGGAATCCTTGGTTTCATTACCATAAATAAATAAAAAATAAATAAATAAATAAAATTCGAAAAGCGGGGAGAGGGAGTACATCATTATCGGAATTTGTTTTTGATATGATCAGCACAGATATCTGGGGGCGGGGGGGGGTGGGGCGTTGGGGAGGGCTTATTCTCTTATAGACTTTACGCCTTCAGGCAGGGGTTCGTAAAGTTCTGTTAAACAGAGGAAAAGAGAGCTGGTCATTAAAAACGCTAACGTTAGTTCCTCGTGCTCCTTTTATTTTAACAACATGCCTTTGGGATAGTCATTAATTTTCTGGCATCGGAATTACTAGTACAGGTTGGTAATCCAAAACAAACTTGTCGACGGAGCGACGACACGGGTAATGGCGGATAATGTGTTGTCCGAAAAAAAAACTATGGCGGGAAGCATAACGAACGGCGTGACCGCGGAATTAAATAGCGCTTTTCAGAGAGTAAAAACTTCTACCTCAATGGACCCGATCAATCTTTGGAACCAATTTTCCGAGACAGACTCTCTTTGAAGTCAATGTTTTATTGTTTTAAGGTTGCTGTCTCCTGAATAGCCCACGGCGTGCGATTTACGTTTGCCACTCGGCCAGAATACCGAATTCACAAAGGGCATGTTGATCCGAAATAAATGCGCCGATATTTGACGTCTGTGGCGGCAGTCTAAACTACCCCGTTATTACGGGTAATGAAAGGTAACAACCGTTCATTATGTGAGATGACTGATCACCGAAGAACAAATTATTGCCAATTCCCTAAACCCTTGAATTATCTTTCAGATAATAGGGCCAACATGAAGCCTTTCATTAGTTCCGAGCTCAACAAAAGAGGGCGCCATACAGTCGCACCAGTCAGTCACAGCGCTTCGAGCGACACACGAGCAAGGCAACGTTAACGTCTTAAAAGTGATTCGTTTGCCTTGATCTTATTTTGTTGGCCTCACAGAAACGCTTCATATGCTTCCTTTAGGCCCACGTCAATTCACCCTCAGCATTTGTCTGTCTTTCAAGATCATCGCAAGAAAAGGACCAAATCCTGGCCCCGAGCGTATACAGTGACCGGCCCGAACGCGCTGATCCACCCGTAATCGCAGCGAATTAGGTCCGCTAGATCCCACCGGTAATACGCTCAAATCCCCGCCGGGGTCGCTTTACTATTTCGCTTCACTGGTTTACCGAGAATCCCCGGTTTGCTGAGACTTTTTTAATGGGATTTTGCGAAAAGAGAACCAGATATCACAAACATAATGACGAGTGCATGCATAAGGTGTACAGTCGCGAAGCGCGTCCGCATTGAATGCGCGAGAAAGTAAACGAGTATTAAGAAATACAATGGTTTCGTGGATGAAGATGAACACTCCATTCGACGTTTTAAACAGATACATTTTGGCTTGTTAACACTATCATTTTGCTAAAATAAAAGGCTCGAAGTCGAAATTTGACAAATAACTTGCAAAATAATGTGAACATATAACGCCCCAGCAGTATTTTGTTTTTAATTATCTTTCGTTAAGGTCCTCCCAGCTACCTATCGATCATATTTTATTAGTTTGTTCAGTTCTTTTGTGTCACAAACTCTGAAGCTTATTAAGTTATTAACGGTAAAATTAACGGCATCTAAATAATACACAGGACGGATAATTAGACATATTTTTCTTTATTTCGTCTCACCGTACCGCGTTCAATAGACCGTATGTGTTGCATGTGTCTCAGAGGTTATTCTTTGATATTATAATTTAGTTACAAACATCCTATGAGGTCGACACAGTCAACAGCCTTTCCGTTTTGGGCAAGGTCTTCAAAACTACGGGGGAAAAACTCTAATTAGATGGCATGGTTCGTGTATGAATTCGCTAATTGATAGAGCAACCGGTAGTATTGGGAAAACAAAATAAACGCGCGTGCGTAATCGCGCAGAGTCAAAATAAGCACGGTGACTTCATCGGCAAATTGCAATGCGCCTTTTTTTTCTCTTTCACTTTCCGTCACACACGGTTCAAGTTTCGGGAACGGGAAATGAATTTGTGACATTGATATTCCAATGGCGGCTCGGTCACGATAATAAAAAAAGAGTCTGATTACAGTTGCAGAATCAGTGACCTATATTGCATAATCCAACGGCCTGGAATCAGCATGTGCGTGAATCATATACCAGCCGATGGATACTGTTCGGTTCAAGCCGCGACTATATTTCTGTGTCTACTATGAAGTTCACAATAGGAAACCATGCATGGTCACAAATTCATGCCTCAATTGTCAAGGGTACGGTAATGTCTGCGGTATTTCAAAACACAAAATGTATACACACCCAACACGTGTGGTGCATAATGTCATGAAAGTTTCACCAGAAGGTTTACCGTCTTGCCTTCGCGTCGCTCCAGGAAAACTAAAAAACTTTCCCGGCAACACGAGCCCGGATGTGGCGACCCTGGGGCTTAGCCTTCACCGAAAGCTATAGCTCGGAATATTTCCCGGGTTGAAAAGTATTGTTGTTTTTCACAAATTCTGCTTCGGATAATTGGGAACTGGGAATTATTGTGTTATGTATACTAAGTATACTTCAAGTATACTGGAACATACATAACAAAATCAACACCGTGTAGGATTTACACTGCAGTTCAAGTTGCAGTGCACTAGTCCTATAATTTAAGGCGGAAATTCAAAATTGGGATTTTTAAGAAAGCCTTTCAGCGGAATTCGTCGAGACAGTTTTTTGTTTATTGATTGGAAGAAGTGGTTAAATCTCTCACTTCTCCCATCCATTGTTTGTGTTCCCACTGAAACATGTGTTAAAGTAGAAAAAGCCGGTGGCACAACACTACATACGTATTTCCTACAACACCTTTTCCTCGTGAAAATATGCCGTGTATAAAAACTGTGTTTCTATACAATCAAAGTTCAAGGTTCATCGATCTGAAAGCCTAATAGCGTTTTGTTATAAGATATTGTTGGTAGGTATTCTAAAAGGAAAAAAAAAATGAGAAGCAAGTCAGGCAGAAAACCATTGCCGCCAGCCCAGCTGGGACAATTTAATCCCCACAATAATATCGCACCAAGCGAGAACAAAGTTTAGGTATAGAGACTAGTGTACCATTACACGCCTCGGGTATCATAGCTATTAATCCTTCAGTGCGGGGATTAAGGCTATTGAATCGCAATTCCTGAACAGTTAGCGGCTTCCTTCTGTTGATTTCCAGAACTTACTTCAACTTGCTAGCAGCGGGCCCACTCCGCGCGCCTACTATCAAAAGACCGACACTTAAATAACTGCTATATCAACAACCCACTATTAACTCTATGCAAATATCCGTGAGGGTGTATTTCAATGAAACTCGTGACACGCCAGTGTTCCGGCTGTAAAAACGGATTTTACAACAACAAAAAACACCCACACACGTTTATCGGTACGGTTGGTGAAGACACTGCCGACGAAAATAAGTTAGGAGAGGGAAAATATCGGGATTTTGTCACGTATGCCCATTATTTACTTACCAATATTCGATTCGTATTCTCCGATGTACCTCTTTGTAAGGAATCGCACAGTGACGGCTGTTTTGAGAAGAAGGGCAAAAATAAAAACATAATCATTTTTATTGTTAACTACATGTATTGAATCGTCAGATCACAGGGAATTTACAACATTTGCAAACATCAAAAAACAAAACTACTGTTAGTGAATGACAGTCTAAAGCATCCTGTAAAATCATGGCACCTGGTGTGCTGTCATTTTCAAGAAAAGTGGTATTTTTGTATCAATTTCCAACGCTGGTCGGCCGACCAGCGTTGGAAAGAAGCCGGCTTTTTTCAAATACTGCTCCCAAATCACATTCAGTTAGACTTAATATTTTTTTGCAATCAATTACACATCCATGAAGGGGTACAAGCCTTCTAGACTGGGTCCCTAACCTTACAATTCCCCGACGTCTATAAATTGCTCCATCGCAATTTAAGTGGGGTCAGAGAACCAGACTGCAAAAACATGATTGTTTTTCCTGGTTTTTCCAGAAACTCCAAACACAAAACTTCCAACTTGTCAGTGTAACAATATTTGCTATAAAATACTCATCCCCAAATCCAAACATTTCTAAAAATTACAGAAAAAGCAAATGTTGTATATTCTCTTTAACATCTGACTTAAAAAAAAGGTCATTGTTAAATCCCACTATTTTTTTTGCAACTTGAACAAGATTGACGAAAATTAGTAATTTGGGGACAATAGACCATAATTTTGTGCGTTTTTTTCCATTTTGTGGGATCTCTGAACCACCATAATAATCAACCCAGCCACAAAATAATATTGTTCCTGGTGTATTTTTTTATGTTTTCGACCGAAATAAATAAACCCACGCCGCATGTCCTAAACTCTTTCTTTCCGAGTAGAGGCACTTGTGTGTTGTTGCTTGTGTGTATATTGTTCCCTGAATTCTTGAGAATCGTAGTAACACTATCATCATTTTGACAAAAATAACCATTGCTTCAATTAAAGTAAAACCTTCACGTTGCAGCCGCTCGTCTAAATTGGATCTGTTTGCATAATATTGTGGCATACGTGATATTTGCGTGGTCGCACACTCGTGTTATCTGCATAAGGGCATTTTTTACAACCCCCTGCACGATTGTCACCCACTGGATTTACCAGGATGTTTCGCGGATGCAAATTGTGGTTCATTGTCTTTTCTTTTTTTACGAGATTGGGGTCACGTTTTATGAGGTTAAACCGGATCTTGTTAACCTCAAATAAATCTCTTTAGTGTTCATCCAAAATGTGCAAATCGGTAAATTAATTTAAGCGGAGATTTTTTTGTGGGGTCAATCACAGCCTGTGGGTCGTCGGGGAAAAATCGCGTGTTGGAACCGGCGACATTTGGGCGGGAAATTGCTTTTCATTCCTACATGGTCCGGTAGCCCGATCCGGTCGTCGTTCTAATCCGCTTTATCTAAAGGGAAAATACGGCCTGGAATGCACCCAACTACAAAACACGTTTTAAACGAAATGATATTAAATGGAAAGAGCATTTAAAAGTAGAATATAAACGTTCACACAACCATCCTTTAAAATTGGGCGTTTTTGTGTTATTCTTGCGAGAAACTTGCGAGAATGAATTTCAGGGGTCATAATTTTGTCTTCGAAAAATCGAGCTGTTCAGTCTGTGCTATAATTATTGTGATACCAGCCGCACAGTGGTCGCATTCTGCGGACATGTAAGAAACAACATTTGTGTACTAGTGCTGTGTGTAAGTTGTGTGACACACACAACGTGTATCGTACAGTGAATGAAAACGACAGGAAATACGTATGTGTACTCCATCGCGTCCGATGTAAACAACCGGGTTTTTCGTCTATTCTCGGGAACTGTGAGAGTATTAGGTTGGTTTCCTTTCAACCAGATCTTTAACATATTATAAGTAAACAATCCAAAACATGACATTTTCCAGGAATTCAGGCCGTAATACCCCTTTAAGGGAGGCACTACTTTCGTCCAGAATAAAAGTGTGACACCTTTAATGTAATGCTTTATTTAAGGGACACTACTTTCGTCCGGAATGCATAACAGTGCGGCCCTTGAATGTAATGCTCGGCAATATTTGCCAAAAACCGTAAATACTGACGAATAACCAAAGTTCGTGTATACATGGGTCTCTGAATTAAGTATGTTTCATTTGCTCCCGTGATCAAGATGTGGAAATGAAAAACATTAAGAGTGAATTGTACAACTCAGTTTGATCGGTCACTTGATATCAAAAATGCGCTCCAGGCCTATAGCAGAAACGTGACACCAGAAAGGATTCTGACAGAAATGGTGCGACCAGGCGGTCCGTGTTGAAATAAATGCGTTTAAATTGAACGAGTCAATATAAGAATGCCTGACTGAAATCCAGAACCAGGTGCCATTACTAACCGCATGTGGAAGTTGTGTATTTATTTCCATCGGGAAACTAGGGCTATATAAATGTACCCAAAGCACTTCTGAACGAGTGTGGAATTTTTATATGAATAGACTTTATACTTTGGGTGTGACATCGCACAGTATGTGCATGCGGCTAAAAGAATTACGTTTATGTAATGTACGTGCCCAGAATAATCTTTACAAGCACGACGTAGGTGTATGGAGTGGTTTGGTAGAATAAATTTTGCAGTATCACATTAACAACCCTACTTTTACGACAAGCAAATGCCTGTTTAATAATAAAAAATCAGCAGTGACTCTATAGACTATAATGTTGGGAGGTATTTTCGAAATCCAGGTGGTTTGACTTTTAGGCAGCTGAAAAATCGACAATACAAAAACCCTCCCATGAAAAACAAATAACCATGGACGATCAGGCAAAATCGAAAAATTAAAAAATAGGCCTATAGTAAAAAAAGTAGGTCATTCAATGTTTATTCCGTATTCAAGTCACAACTTGATGTTGATATTGAAATTTCTGCTCCTTCCCAATGAGAAGAAAAGAGCAACGGATGTGGGGATTTACTTTGTATAAGCAGTCTGTATGTACCAAGTCGGAACGGGGAATCACATCCAATCGTGACTAGGATGTAAGGCAATCCAAACCCCTCTCGTGTTCTCTTATCACCTCAAGGAGCAGCGAGAAACAGGGGATTTCTTCTGGCTTCCTCCTCTAACCCTCTGCAAATAAAATCGATCGAAGCTTTCCCCCCCCCCCTCGTCAGGTGGCTTTTTATTTGCAATAGAATATTAGACTCCGAGCGCGCGGCGAGTGCGACCACGGTGGCGGCGTTTCCGTTGAAATTTCCCGCGTCGGGTTTCTCCCGCCTTTTTAAGGCTGTGAACAACATTTCCGTAACGTGCTCGCGTCGCGCTCTCGAGATCAAACACTAAGAAAGGTCGAATCCGCGCTGGGAATAGGTTAACGACCACGAGCTAGCTGCGGCTTCAAAGATGCGCACCTCTTAATTGCCCTAAAGTTCAGATTTTCTTTGAAGATGATCAGGTATTTTAAATGCACAAAAAATACATAATTTAATTGTAAAAACAAAAAAAAAGGTATCAAGCGTACTCTTTTGAGAACCTCAGACTAAAGGTATGTTGCTGTCCTCTTAACATTAATCATAAATCTGAACTTTCATAAATTCAGGACCCAAATCTACGTCCATGCTCGTATGCATTGTTTGCCTGTCTCAATACAGTTACTTTTCCAGTATGAAGAAAGCGTTCAAAGGGTCTCACAAGCAGCGTCCTCTGAGATTTCTTTAAGTGGCGCGACATCCTTTGACTCTCAAGTCGCTGCGAGCAACTATATAGCCTCCTTCCCCCACTCACATCCTCTCTTTGTTGCTCATCAATACCCGGTAAAACTCTTCTCAGAAGTTCTCAAGGGGAATTCCCACGAAAGAGATGCTCTTTTACACAAAAGGTAGACCAAATTTTAAGCAGGACATTATTTATGAAGATTCAACCAAGGAGGGGGAAGGTTTATTTTCAGGTTTTTTTTTTCATTGACGTCACTGTTATAGCAACGACTTTTTATAACTCATGGGTTGTTCTTTAAATAAAATGAAGCAGTCCCATCGGTTAGATTTTAAACTTTTGGGTCTTACCAAAAGAGAAAGGTTTACAGTTTTTTCTTCACATTGACGTCACACAGTGTCCAGTGCAACCGTGGCATGTAACCCAAGCGTCGGTTAATATTTACGCTTCATATTGTTCGCATTGTCTGTCTGAAATAATCATGAGACTTTTTCTCACTTTTTTTTTTTTGGTCAGTGGGCGACGGCTTTTAACGCTTACGCGGAACACGAATGCGCGTCTTCGGTTACAGTGACATATTCCATAAACACTTCCCCCCCCCCCCCTCACTTCGGGCTTTCGTTCGGAGGTTGCATCATATTCAGCATTTTTCTCCCCTCTACTCGTGTTCACAGAAGAGCCCAAGGCTTCTTTCCTGTTGTCCTTAGGATTTAGGGTCGGAATACTGACTGTGACAAACAAAACTGCTGACAAGTCGCCGCAAAATGTTGCCGGAATTCGATACATCAGATCAATTTACCTGTGTTTTATTCAGCTTTTAAAATTGTCAAAGAGTGGCTCATCGTCACTCAAAAATGTCTTATTAACCTGAATGGACACAATAATATTTCCATCCAGTTGTTTTGAAGTTCAGATCTGAGATTTTGTTATCGAGGACACTATAATAATTGCCCGAGGGCAAATCAAGGCCATAACCTTCCCACACCTTCAAAAATCACATTTTACATCCGGCAAACACAAACCAGAACAGTCATAACTACAGCACGACCTATACGTGGAGTGGAATAATAAACACATCCCATCCTCTGAAAAGGTCCCCGCGGAATGTTTGACTTCAAAACTCCGCCAACAGTCCCAACAGACGGATTCCGTTTGGTTCAAACCCCTCTGAAATTCAATAAAAACAAATTGTCTGATTGGTAAAAGCGAAGCGGCTGAACACGAAGCAAAATGTACAGCCATCATGTGCGATGTCGACCTGATGGCACGCGCGGAGCATAAAAACAATGGCGCCACATCCACCCTCGGGTATTTTTCATGTTGACTGCTGTTCCTGTGAG